CGGAATAAGATTCCGGCCGGCCTCCTCGTCTCCCGCCGGCAGCCCTCGTGACATTATTATATGTAGCTTTAATAAGTGATTATCGGTGGATTAGTGCTGCTAATTAATTAGATTAATTGGATTAGTGTACTCTTAATTATAATCACTTTGCTTATAGTATTATGAGTATGTAATTTATGTTCACGATATATATATATATTTCGGGTAACGCGTAGGTGTACTGAGTATAGTGTATCTATAACATTTGATTATTGCGAATGATTGATTTGTTGCTTCTGCGTACGAGTGATTGCAATTAATTATTTCGAAACGCGCTGATGATTTTTAATATTTATGTATGTATATATTGGTTGGTTCTCTTACCATTTCCAAGTCTTCGGCTCCTTGTTAATTTTATTTAGGGGAAATGAGGGATAACCCCCTAGTTTTGAAAATATATAGGGAAAGGTCCTAAGGATTTTTCTTTGCTAGTCAAAAACCCAAATTTTAATCTTAATTTGATAGACCCCCTAGACAAATTGAAATACCAGTTTTACCCTTTTAGTTACAATTTAAAACCCTAAATTTCACTAACTCTCCTTAATTTCTCTCTCCCTTCTCACGGCCGTTTTCTTTTCTCTCTCCCTCTCCCACGTTTCTCTTCTCTCTCTCTCTCTCAAAATTCTTGTTCTCTTCTCTCTCACCTCCCACCGTCGTTTCTCCGCTTCCCCGCCTTCTTCGTCGCTCCGCTTCTCCGTCGCTCCGCCTTCTCCGTCACTTCTTCTTCTCCGCTGCTCTGGCGCTATGCCGTGCTCCGTCGTGCTCCGTTGCTCCGTCGTGCTGCCGTGCTCCGTCGTGCTCCGTCGTTGCTGCCGTGCTCCGTCGTTGCTCCTCCCACCGTCTTGAACTCGGTATTAATTCACTTCACTTTTTTTAAGTTATTTTTTTAATTTATGAATGTCAATCCATTTTTAATTTATTTTTCGAAGATCTGAATTCTTATCACTATTTCACCTTATTTTATTATTTTTTTTATGAAACAAACTGAATTCAAAAATTTGAAATTGTGTCAGATCTAATGGTGAATTTTAGATCTGGAATTGGTGGTTTTCGATTCGTATATATTTACTGTATTTATTTAAAAAAAAATCAGATCTACTATGTTTTTGAAGATCTATGAACAATTAATATTAAAATATTTTTCTTTGGATTCATTTGATTTTTTTATTATAAATCATATACAGTCATATACAGTCAGTCACATGTGGTCATGTATAGTCATGACTACATGTAACTATACATGACTATATATAGGACTTGTAGTATAATATAGTCATTTGTAGTCGATTTTAGTTCAGTAAATTTATCAACAAAAACAATCATGTTTTTTTTGTATTTTTTATGTAATTTGATTTTTTTATTATAAATCATATATAATTTTTTTTTTGTATTTATTTGAAGATGATTTGAAATACCTAATGTGTGAGAGCTTTGTTTGTTTGTAATAGAAATTTAACCAGTAGTGGTTACTTACATGAGTGATTTGAGTCACGTGAATATACAGTTATATTTAGTCATATACAGTCATATATACTCAGTCACATGTAGTCATGTATAGTCATGACTACATGTAACTATACATGACTATATATAGGATTTGTAGTATAATATAGTCATTGGTAGTTGATTTCAGTTCAGTAAATTTATCAACAAAAACAATCATGTTTTTTTTGTTGTTTTCATGTAATTTGATTTTTTATTATAAATCATATGTATTTTTTTTAGTATTTATTTGAAGATGATTTGAAATGCCTAATGTGTGAGAGCTTTATTTGTCTGTAATAGAAAGTTAACGAGTAGTGGTTACTAAAATGGTTAATTTGAGTCAGATGAATATACAGTTATATTTAGTCATATACAGTCATATATAGTCAGTCACATGTAGTCATGTATAGTCATGACTACATGTAACTATACATGACTGTATATAGGACTTGTAGTATACTATAGTCATTTGTAGTCGATTTTAGTTCAGTAAATTTATCAACAAAAAAATCATATTTTTTTGTATTTTTCATGTAATCTAACTCGCATGTTCCATTTTGCTATTTAACTCTTATTTTTTTGTCGCAGGTTTTGCTTTTATTATAGTTTTATGACATGCGGAGAATAAAATTCGATGAAGTGCCTTTGTGAAGTTGGATTCATGCTACAGTACTCCAGACTTATGCCACTTATATAACTATAGATAATTGTATATAACTGTAGTCACGTGTAGTAACATATATTTATATGTATGTTATGTTT